TATGTATGCAATGAATATAATGTTAAACATTCAGTATTAACGCCTGTATAGCTGATGTGCGCGAGCTGATTAACAAAGCACGCTGAGTGGATTGAGCGCGCGGCGGCGCACATGCGCGAGCTTGTCGAGTTAATATCCCCTTCTCACAGACATCACTGGAAAGTTTGTAGTTTGGTCGGTTATGTCAAAAACAATTAAGTAAAACAATGCACAAGTTACGTTACTTAACGGTAGAGCCCACGCATCATTTGGATTAAAACTAAACTTAAAACTAAATCGTAAATATAAAACAACATTTATAGGGGCATTCACTATAAACAACATTTATTTTTAACCTTAAGCATAAACGACTTTATGGCGAAAGTGAAACTATCAGTCTGTACTGTACTTGTCCCTCTCATTCTGCACCAATACAAATATGTGCATGCGTTGCACATGTTTTGCTTGCTTTGCTTGTTTCTGTATTATGTGAGTCACTTTGGAATATAAATTGCAGCACGTTTCAGATGAAAACACACTAGTTATATTTCGGAAAGATTTATAGCGAGTGGTTCCCTGCATTATTACAGTAAAACGCATGGTTACAGTACTGAGCCGCTGCAATGGAGCAGCTCTAATGCTATTAAATTAAAGATGATGTACCATAGAGCAAAAAATTAACAGTGAAAGTAACTAAAACTTGTAAAATACATTTTAATGGGCATAATTAAGTGTGAAAATAACTGAAGGATATATCTATTTGATAAATGAAGTTAACCAACTAACATTATACATATTCTTTTGGTTTCTGTGCCCAATATTTAAAAAATTTACAAATACAATGAAAATACTGGTATCGGTACTCCGTATCGGCAAGTACCAAAAACAAACGTATCGGTATCGGCTGAGTACTGGAAAAAGTGGTATCGGAGCTTCCCTAATTGGGACACCCCATTCTAATGAACACGTTTGACTACTTTAATAAGTAATTTCCACGAGTACAAATCTTAATGTTTAAGCATATAATGATATTCTAGGGTACAAATCTTACTGTTTAAACATCAATGACTACACCAATCAACGACCAAACACCAATGACTTGAACATATGGGTACAGTCATTTTAGACACTTCCAAAACTGTTGCAACAGAGATGGAAATACAATTTTTAAATACAAGAATTATGTTTCCATCTTTGCTGCCACAGTTTTGGAAGTGCCTTTTTATGTTCTAAAGAAGGGTGTCCCAATACTTTTGTCCATATAGTGTATGTACAAGTCGTCATGTTAGAATAGAAAAGGGTCCTGTCCAAACTGTTGCTATAAAATTAGAAGCACGCAATTCCCTAGAATATCATTATATGCTTAAACATTAAGATTTGTACTCATGGAAATTACTAAAGTAGTCAAACCTGTTCATTAGAAGGGGGTGTCCCAATACTTTTGGCAATATAGTGTACATACATACATACATAAAAACCATTTGTTATTTGAAATTGTAATATTTCAAAGAACAAATCTCACCGACCCCAAAGTTTTGAACAGTAGTGCATGTGTGTATAGCAAACGGCTTAAAAAAGGAAACATATACAAGACAATTTAACAATAATCAATAAATCTGAGAGACTCACCAACAGTTTTCCAAATTTGATGAGAAAGGCCTCAGTCACCACCTGCGGTCGGAAGATCTGTCAAAGCAAACAGGCACAGTCATGAAGGGATCTACCCTAAAAGACACTTCACCAACCTACAACACTGTACAACATTGCTATTCACTACCCTTGAGTCTTATTCCGTTTGAGTTCCACCAAAAACTGTCAGTCTTCACTTGAGCTTTAGCAGCTATGAAGTCTTACAGTTGTCTTGAACACGGCTGAATGTATGCTGCAGATTTCTTTCATCGTACTGCAAAATCGGCAGTCTTGGATCTATTAATGCATCATGCTCTCCGACGGCCGATAAATTGCATTTGCAATGAATCTTCTGGCAGGTTCAGAATTTTTAGGCCGCATTGCTGCGCTCTAGACGCTCAACGCTGTCAATCGTGACTTAAATCCCAGCTACGATGCGCATCGTATAGTCTGACATAAGAACGTTAATGTCACTGAGGAATGTCTGTTAAAATCTGCCGTGGGCTTTACCCAAGATCTCATCCAGGACGCGCCGTACCGTACAATCTGACAAGCAGCGATTGTAGAGGACAGCAAAAAATCGCAAAATGTTCAGCCGGTTTAAGAGAAAATGTTATAAAACCCTGCTGTTCTGTCAGAGGACATTTTTCCCCATCATGCACCATTTCGACTAAGCAACAGAAGATGTGGTATTCGAGTGCGTTCCATTTACAATGTCATCCTGGGATGTGATCCTCCTCTCTGGAGAACTTCAGCGCTGGTGTGAGAATGAGGGGGTTCATGTTTGTGCTGTAGGACTGTAATGATGTGAGGTCAGAGGTCATAGCCCTGGACAGCGAGGTATTGAGCTCTTATCCACTCTCGCCTCTGAGAAACACATTGGAACTGACCTCTGCACTGACCCCTGTGACTGATGAGTGCTGTGTGTGTCAGCGCAGTGTGTTGGTTGTCAGTGAAGCAACAGGCCAGAGAGACAGATGAGACCACAGAGAGGGCTCATCACATGAATGTATGTATGGATGCACAAACACACAGGCATGCTCTCACATTACAAGAGCATGACGCCTCTCAGAACCACACAGCAGCTGAAGAGATCAGGCACACGGGGCTCAAAGGCATAAGAGGCCAGTGAAGTCTCAAAGATGCAGACCAACCTGCTACTGGGAAGACAACCAGCTATGCCCTGCAGCATTTTTCTTAACATCAGAACACACATACACACTGGATTTGTGTAGCCAGACTTTTGACTATAGGCATGAAGTCTAGCCCACACTGCAGCTTATTCTAGCCAAGAACCGCTCACTTAGGCAGGAAGGGGTCGACTAACTGACAAAAGTTTGGACATGTTATTTTTTACTTATTTTAAGAAACATTTAAAATAATAGTAAAGCCACCACAACTGTGAAATAACACAAATGTAAGCATGTGCATTATTCAGTAACAAAAAATGTCCATTTAAATTAGGGGTGTGCGACATCACGATTTTTGTTCATGGACGATTAAAATGTCTCCTCGATCTGCTTTTGAAGAAATATCGAAGTATCGTGCTACAGTGTGCATTCTATCAGTTGCAGTTGTGGTGCCTCCGTCTAAATATACTGTACAACGCGACATAAATGTTAACTCAGTGGTAGAGTTACACTCATGGGACACTGCACTTCACAAATCACAAAAGTATATTATTTGCATGTGTTTTAAAGTCTTGCCAGTTAAACATTTCATTCACATGCTGGTCTGACATGCGCTTCTTCTGAGCGTGTACACCTAAAGCATGCACACTAAAAAGCTATCTTTCGCATCTGATTGCACTAATACTGTCAAAAACACAAGTTTCACATATAAATACAGTTGGTTATGTCTAAAGTGAAAGTAAACAGTTGAGAGAAAAACGGATGTGTGAAGGTCTTAAAGTGACAGCAGACTTATAGTACTAAACATGCTGCCGCTTGTCATTAACCCTCTGGGGTCTGAGGTGATTTTGGGGCCCTTGAGATGTTTTGACATGCCCTGACATTTGTGCTTATTTCAGCTACTTATAACATACTATTGGCCAACATGTAACATGTAATTTTTTTTTTGTATTCAGCACAAACTGTGCTGTCACATATAAATATGTGAGCAAGATGGATGTACATGTTTGCATTTTTTAGAAGAAAAAAAATATTATGCGTGGTTAGTAAGTTTTGGGGAAAAAAATGTAGCTGAAATAAGGCCATAGAACCCATACTGAATAGTTCTGAATAAGACTTTTGAGTAATCAGTCTTGTAGGCTAGAATATTTACTTCAAAATGACGTGAACATCATCCTGCTTATTCCTTCACAGAAAACAATATATTGATTTAAATTTTTAAAGACATGTTTTGTGATCGAAAGCCTGTATGCGAGGGAGTGACAATGGCCATGAATATTTAGTGATTCACACCTGAGAGACAAAGGGCCCTCCCCTAATGGCCCATCAGTGTGAGTGTTACTTTGAGGCAGGTAAAAAAGAATGTGAGGAGATTGAATTTTTTTATTTTTTTTTTATTTGTATTTTATTCACAACACAGTATAATTAAAACATACATAATGAAGGTTCAAAGACACATTACTGAGCACACTGATCTAACAGCAGAGATGTGAACAGACTTTTGAGTCATTCCTGAAAACAGATTCTGTTCAACAAGTGAAACAAGTAAACCATACCTGATATTTAAGTGTTTGCTGCTTCTTTCCATGGATTCAAGAAAAAATAACCATCATCAGCAGTCAAGGAGCTTGTTTTACCATAGAATATCAGTGTAGTTGAACATCTGATGTTGGTACAGCGCTCTCAGAGGAAAACAGTTTGAAGAGACTCCAGTGAAAGTCGCTCTTAGAGGAAAACAGTTTGAAGAGACTCAAGTGAAAGTCAGCAGGATTCATCTGTGGTGCAGGTATCTGATCACTAAAAAACAACAACAAAAACAAAACAAAAATATATATATATATAGTGATTTTGTAGTCACAGACCCACGCATGCTTTGTATTATCGTAAAAAGGACATTTTATATCCGAGAAACAAATTATTATTGTTTAGCACGTTAAACATCTATAGAAATATATTTATAAAATATATTTGAGAACAGAGTATTAATAATAAACATGGTCTAAACATTCTTAGACTCGTAGCATTCATCATGCACTCATATTACTTTTATATCGTATTGTTTTATATTATATAGAGCATGAAAACATCATCGTGTCGTAAGAAATTTAGATACAATGAAGTGCCTGTCATATTCAAAATGTTTCACTGGATTTCAAACATTTTAGTCAGGAATTAAAGTTTGGGAAAAACCCAACTAGTAAATGTTCAAGTTTATGCCACAATAACACGTAAACTAATGCAAAAAATAAACGATTACTTACTCATTAGAATGATCTCCTCGGCTGGGTCAGGTTGCGCGTCGCATCTTGTTCCTTTTCTGAGGTAAATCCTGGGTTATTCCTCTCAGCGCATCTTTTTCCAGAAACGAGCAGTAGCCGGATGAACTTCCTCATGCCCGAGACATTCCCGAGATGAATCCTCACGCTTTGTGCATGGAGCTGATGTGGGCGTTTACATGCCGCGTGCCTCACGTGGACGATTGTTATAACAAAAGCGAAAGTAGCTCGTGGGCGTGGTCACATTAAAAATAATTAGATCAGACGGAAAAACTGGACAGCAGTTCACGGAGACAGAGAAGACAGAACGCGCACGCTGTTTATTTTCTTTATTTTAGAAAAGCACAAAGTTTTGTTGTTATTGTGAGTGTACACAAATAAAAGTAGACACTTAACAGTTTCGAATGATGTATAACACTTATTTGTGAGACAAAAATCGACAGAGTATTTTTAGTTTCTTTCGCACTGATCTTAAAAAAAGTGAGCTGGTCGCGCCGGCGTGACCTTCGACACCAGGGAGTTAAAGGGATAATTCACCCCAAAATTAAAATTGTGTCATTATTTATTCACTCTCATGTTGTCCCAAACCTGTATTAATTTATTTCTTGTGCTGAACACAAAATATGATATTTTCAAAAACGTGGGTAACCAAACAGTTGCAGGTCCCCATTGACTTTGATAGTAGGAGAAAAAAAAATGCTATGGAAGTCACTGGGGACCAGCAACAATTTTTTACTTACATTCTTAAAAATAACTTTTATGTTCAACAGAAGAAAGATACTCATTTAGGTTTAAAACAGCTTGAGAGTGAGTAAATTATGATAATTTAAATTTTTGGGTAAACGATCCCTTTTAACGTTGATAAAACATCAAAACACAAAGAGAAAAATCACTCGCTGATCTTGACTGAAGAACTTCAATACAGTTGCTTTAATAGGAGTCAATGTATAATTTATACAGTGAAGTGTATATAGTGTTTTATTTTTATATTTGTTATATTTGTCTACTGCTTAATACACATACTGTACTTGAAAAATAAAGCAAAAATAAATGAATTAATAAATATTGTTGTATTTGTATATTATGTTAATTTGTAATGAGTATCTTTGTTCTTATTTTTTAATAAAGATAAAATAATGACATAAAATAAAATGATAAAGATCTTTGCCCACTTTGGCCTAAATGTCTGCCATTCTTTTTTATTTTGTATTTTGCTACTTTGTAAGGCTTTGTTTTTAAAACAGGGACACAGTTGGGCTGTACTGCTCAGACAACTTGCAAAATAGTAAAACCAACATGACAAAGAATCAGGATAAAATTGTGAATTGTGATTTTCCTTAAAAAAAAAAAAAAACATGATATTTTTGCCATATCGCCCACCCTAAATTTAAATAAAACTTTAATCCATGTCATATTGTACCTTCTTCAAATTCAGCCACCCTGAAATGATCCTTCGGCAATCATAATAATATGTGGATTTCTTTTTTCAAATTTTTCAATTTATTTCAAAAATGTTCCTGACCCCGAAATTTTGATCTGTAAATAAATTAAGCATATTAAATATTAAGGTAAAATCAAAAGTTTTCTAAGATCATGAGAAAATGAATAGCCACAGTTCATTTTCGAAGAGGATTTTTGTTTTTTCAGTGTATAGTTCTTCCTCGGAAGCTCTTACTGAAGCAGCCTGGCTACCTCGTCTCCTAGAAATGTAATCCATTAAGATCGGACATTTGGACAAATATTTGCCATATTTGAGAATAATATGCATCAGGCGGCCAGTGAATGCCTGTGGGTGATCTGTGGATGTGCTGTCTGAGACTGGCACTACACCAACACAACTCACTGTGAGGACCATTAAAACAGACAGACACAAACAATCAAAAGAACTGCCTATTACCACTCTAAGCCGCCCACTGCAGCTCTGTGTTAATGGACATCAGTGTATCCTCCTTAGATGAGTTAATGACAGTGGAACTATCAGACAGACAGCTCTATCAGCACCGAACCCTTCAAATGAGATGACTCAATCTGCCACTGAGTCTCCATGGCAAATCCTGGCCGAATGTAAAAGTGTATTTAATCAGCAGAGAGACTCATCAACTCTGCGCACTGACAAACATCTTTCTCTGAGAATACCAGATCCCTTCATATTAATTTTGGCGTGACTGAGTGTGTCAGAAGTAAATCCAATTTTGCACTGTTTGGCAACTGGTAATAATCTGTGTGTGTGTGTGCGCGCGCGTTGAAGCTGCACCGGAAAGCTCCCTAATAGATCATTTCATTCTGACACAGACAGTGATTACACTCAGTGCATGACAGGCAGGTACGGCACATTCATTCATTATTTTCTGCTCAGATGAAGACATTTAATAAAGTGAGAGGTGGCGGGATTCTGGAAAGTTTATTTTTTAGTTCGTTTAAAAGGCACATAATGATTTACACATTTACTCTTTTCAAACATTATCACAATACCTTTCTATACTTCAAAAATGAACTAAATGTTTTTTGTCATTTTTGTCCCTATGACAACGGCTGCATCTGAATATGCATTCTTCTCTAATATATAGGTGAAAAAACAATATGTGAAAGAGTATTATGACTGAATTCAGTTTTCATAAAACAGAAGGCAAAAGCAACCTGGATAATCTACTTTTTAGGCAAGATTCTGAAGTGAACATCCTATGGACAGGATCGTTCCATCCTGACGGATGACAGCTGTGACAGCTAGTGGAATCCCGGAAAATAAACCGTGGAACTTTGACCAATGAGACAACAGTTTACTCGCGCTTAATGCTGCAAAAAAACAACATGTAAAAAGAAATCTGATGCAATGTGCGCAAATCTAAATGTAATTCCACAAATAAACACAATTAATTCATTTTAACATACTTTTATTTGCGGCAGGCCTGCCCCTGTGGCATGCCCATTTATCTTGAATATTTTTTTTATTTTGGCGCCATTTTTGTTCATTTTGGTAGCATTTTTGCACAAGCCCCTGTTAAAGGGATAGTTCACCCAAAACGTATGTCATTAATTACTCACCCTCATGTCGTTCCAAACCCGTAAGACCTTCGTTCATCTTCAGAACACAAATTAAGATATTTTTTATATTTTGGCTTGATATTTAGATATTTTGGCTTGATCGTGGAAGTACCCTTGCTGTCTATGGAGGGTCAGAGAGCCCTTGGATTTCATCAAAAATATCTTAATTTGTGTTCCGAAGATGAATGAAGGTCTTACAGGTTTGGAATGACACAAGGGTGATTAATTAATGACATAATTTTCATTTTTGGGTGAACTATCCCTTTAATTTCTGACCCTGGAAGAAACAGTGTGATTAACTGGTATTTGGATGTTCCGGGTGGATGTTCTGATCTGACCAAAAGGGTACTTGGCCTGAACAGACTGTGAATCGTTGCTATTCACCTTATCTTTAATATAATAGTGTGTGCAGCCATTTGTAACTTGAACGTTCAAGGCTTCCAGTGTCATCTGCTGCACAGAAAATAGCTTGTGAAATAAGTTATTACCTATTGCACCACAAGGTAGGTCCCCACAATGTTTTTTTTTTTTTTTTACCTCAAAGCTGTACCATCCTTGTGGAGATAGAAACCCAAAATAACTAGCAAAAAGGTAAATATAGCAAGACCTGACACAGACACACACCTGTGAGGTGAGCAGATGCAGCACCACAGCCATCATGGGGAGGCTCTGCTTCAGCTGACGGGACTGCGTAGGAGAGGGGTGCTTCCTTCCCACAATGCTGCCTAACACGGACAGGATGTCATCTACAGAAAGCCCACATAAACAGAAGCAGTGAGAAATCAGCCAATCACAAACAATCCATCATGATCAGTCTGGGTAGGTGGCCGGGGGCGTGAGCAGGTGCGAAGAACTGAACCGGTTTGAACCGGTTTCATGGGGGAGAGGTGGTGTGTAGCAGCACTGATTCACAAATGAAAAAGGAGGAACAGGTCGATACCTGAGAGCCTGCTCACGTATTCAATCAGAAAGGTAATTAAAGAGAGGCCAATCAAATTCAATGTTCATTCTCATTGTCCCTGCTTTGTTTTGCCCATTTCACTCTGTTCCTTCTCAAGTGAATTCTTTGCGTTCCCTTTCCCCTCTTTTTCGTGTGTATTGTGATTGATTTACCCAGGATGGCTGGCAGTTCGTGCACGGTGTGACGGATGAAGAGGGTCAGGCATTTTGACAGGTATTCATTGCCGCTTTGTTGCTCCTTTCCTGGCGTGGCCTTTCGGACGTCTCTTTCAATGTACATCACCAGCCTGAGAGAAGGGTTGGCAAAACATTATTATTCATCTGCAGACACCGAGACCAAACAGAGAAAGAGAGAGAGAGAGCGAGAGAGCGAGCGAGCGAGAGGCAGATCTGAAACACACAGTGGGGAGAGGATAGATGCTTTTAATCAATTACACTCAACAGCTGGAGGGGTGACAGAATGGAGATGAAATGGTGTTGATCCTGAAACAATATCAGGAAGGGAATGAGGTCTGTCTGCCTGGCTAAAAAAGACCAGAGAAAAGCAAGATGCATCTGGCAAGGAATTGAATTTGAAGTGTATAAGGTACGGAAATTGGAGGCTGAATTACAGATGAATGAATGTGACTTGATTCAAACATGCGAACTGACATATTAGGATTGATTAATGGGGTTGGTGTTCTCTTAGTAGAAGCTTGGATCAGATCTCTTGGGATTCTGGGAAAATTGCCTTGGATCTTACATTATGATACCAGCACAATCCCTGGGGCATGATGAAATAAATGTTGTTCTTTTTATGGATGTTTTTGTACTTTTAGAATTAGGAAAAAATAAAAAAATAAAATAAAAAAAAGTAATAAATCACACATTATTGTAGTTTTTCCACCAAAAATGTCCAACCGTTTGTGAACTATATTTATGGATCAATGTTTGTTTGTACATGATACCATAATACCATGGTTAAATATGGCTCTATATTTATTCGGTTGTAGTGCATTTTAATAAAAAAAAATGATTAATTTTTTTTTTTTTTTTTTTTTTTGTCATTTCAGCCACGTATTGTGTTTGAAAGCATTCTGTTTTACAAATGACAGTGATATAAAAATGGAAATGTTTCTTTTTCTTGGAATAAAATGGCCAAATCCATGGCTAGCATTTTACATGAATATGTACAATTAAACATTTATTTATTTTTCAATCATTATGTGACAAAATGTACCTGATATGACAACATAAACTGTAGGGCTTTTTTTCCATATATAAATCATATATAATTAATAAAATAGTTTCAGTGACATCATAGAAGCAACAGTGAGCATCAAAAAACAGTTGCTCAAATGTGCACACAGTATTACTGCATACTGTGATTGTCTATTTATATTTACATTTTAATAAACATTGTTGACTTAAATACTGGTGTATATGAGCACAAAAACATTGTATGTATGCTATTCAGTTGGCATACACATAAGGGTACTTTCATGTCAGTTTTTGCCTTTATGCTGTAAATCCAGTTTTGGAATTTTCCATAGTATTTAGGATCAAATCTGATCATGCGTGTGTGTGTGAGGCCCTGGTCTGTGACAATGATAAAAACAATAAAACCTAATACAATAATAATGCATTAATTTGACAAATAAGATTTCTTTTTCAATTGAATGGGATTGCCATCAGGTAAATATATTTAGTCAAATTACTTAAGTCCAATTAATTAGAAAAGTGATAGCACTCCTCTCCTCAAAAAAACTACATGATTTGATGTATCATTTATGTTTGTAGCACAAGCTGTGTAGAAACAAGTTAAACAATAACCTTTAGGATTTGTAAGAGGCTTGTTCAAATCCCTAAACTTAAGAATGAGCAACAGTAATAGTGACGCTTGCCTTAGCAAGCACCATAAATTCAATTTTAACACTTGGCATTAGAATGTCAATGACAAAAGAGTATCTCAACACAACGCTATTGATTCAGCCTCACCTCTAGTCTCTCAAACTAATCAATTCACTACAAACAACAGAAGCGTCTCCTGAGAGAAGTAGCTAACATGTAATATTCATGATATTGTTATGTATGTCATGGACACAGTGAAGAACATAAATAAGAAAAGTAGGGCTGCCCTCGACTAAAGATTTTTCTGGTCGACCAGTAGTTGTTCATGTTAAGCGGTTCGTCGACTAATCGCACGTTTATATTAATAAACCATAAATCATAGTAATGAGCGATTAATTGCCTATGTAGCGCACGAATAAGGTTTGCCACACAGCACACCGGCAGAAGTAATGATTATGAATGCATCAGGAAAAAAGCAAGGAGACTGCCTTAACATTTTAGTAATTTGTTGATAAACCAGTGTTTGCTGTATTTTCGGCTGCAGTGATGAATTGACGATCTCCTCAGTGGATACGCCTATATTAATGTTTCAAACAGATCACATAACCTGAGAATAGTTGTTTTCCATCTGAATTGGTTCGTTTAAAAGCAGACATTTCGCTTTCTATAGATAGGCCTATATTTCTTATGCCTGAGGCAAGTATAAATGCAGTTTCGTTTTATTATTTGACGCGCTCAAATTCAAAGACCGTGACGAGACGGCAGAACGCGCACGCGTTTCATTATTTTACAAAATCAAATAAATAAAAGAAGAGTCTTTAAAGCTTACAAAATGTATAACCAGATGACCATTTGTATTACCAGAAGCGCAAGTGATCACACCGGCGCGCGCTTCCTCATTCCGCACAAACACTGAAATAGCGCACATTTTTATAGGTTAACGTTAGAGCGAGAGGCCATTTAGAGCAAGGGCGAAAGTACCACTTTTTAGAAAAACATAATTTTAAAAGATAATGTTTTAGACAGAGATATATGCTGCAACACCCAGAAAGTCACCACATTAGCAGCGGGACAAAAGTAACAAGTGTTACTTCCGTCCCGAAAGGAACTCCTGACATTTAAACCCGATTTACTTTTTTACTGAAAAACTCTGATGAGGCAAACTTTAGGATGTGTTACAGCACTAAATAGCATGTAGATTGATCATTACTGTGACACATGAAACGAGAAACACAACTTGTAATTAGAAAAAAAGTACAGCTTCAGTAATTTACTTACCGTACTTGAAAACTGCTTTCCGGACCTAACCACGGGAAAATGATGACGGAATCACGTGATATTTGGCAGCTACGTCAATGGTTGCGTGCTGAACGTGCTGTCATAGCTTGGAATGAAAATGTAATCAGGTCTCTGAGAAAATCGCTTTGTTACTTTCGTCCCGCGTTACTTTCGCCCCGGTTCTCTCCTACTATTTACATGTTTCAGATGATAATCCATATTTATGGTCAATGAATGATAGGCGAGCGTTTGGATGCCCTGGCCGATGTACTGTATATTACCGCATAGAGCAGCTGTTAACGATCTTTCGTCGCAGAATGCATGACTTCGCCACTTCCTGTGGATTATTATTTTTTCTGCGACTAAAAAAAATGTGGTCGACTAAGCCTTTTCTCATCGACTAAAGATTAGTCGACTATTAGGGGGCAGCCCAAAAGAAAAGAGATGATAGAGCTTGGGTAGAAGTGAGGATCAGGCCATTCTCAAGAACTGCTGATCACTGTAGTAGCTATCTTCTTTGATTAATAAACCACATTAAAGAAATAGAGAGGCCAAAAAAGCAATTTGTGTCACTATTTACTTCATTATTGTCTTCAACATTTTGGCTAAATTATCCAATAATAGTCATTATTCACTTCTTCTTTTCATCTCCACTTCATTTGTTCTTTTTCATACCTTTGCACTTTAGCATATTCAAACTTGACTAGACATTGTGAGAATCAACAGCAGTTAGCATCACTGACATCAAACAAGGAATGTCTTTATGCACCAAGTATGAATATGACATTTGAGAGGTATATGGCAAGATTTTCAGTTAATGAAGACTTAAGTTTAGATTTGTTCCTCATGCAAAACTATCATATGACTTGAGAAAACTTGCACATGAAGGTCACATAAGCAAAATTTCAGTGTTAAACAAACAAACAAAAAGCTGTGTGTCAATGTGGTGCATTCAGATGACCAATTTGAACATAAGCAAAATCTGCATTTAAGTTGGTCTTTATTGCCCTCACACACATTTGCAGATTGTGCATAATCTTATTGAAATTCCTACTGACTGAATTTCACAAAGCAATGGTAAATGTGACCACACCTTACAGTAAGTCGCATATATTATTTATTTATTTATTTAGGTGCCCCTTATTTGTATTAGGTATGTAATGGTACAAAAATAAATAAATAAATAAAGCAAGCAAACAAAAAATGTGTATGTATCTTGGTTCTGGAGTCACAGTTTGGTACATTTTCAGTATAACGGAGAAAAACTAAACATAAAATTCATTTTTATTTAATTAAACAGTGGCTTACTTAAATTGTGGCTGTGTATGTAAATAAATTCAATTATATTTACAATTTTCTCATCAAAGAGAGTCAAAATGGCATTTATTGTTTGAATCTCCTGATAAAATGGACATAATTTGAAGAATGACACTTTGTTTCTTATCAAAAGTAACAAAACATGAATTATTGAACAATATACGTATGTCTTGTAAAGTTTTATTCAACCATGAACTGAAACAGCAAGGCTAAAAGATCAATCTTGGGATTTAAGAATTGCTATAGATCTGCTAAAATGAAGATATATATAAATCTAGGAGTTTCAAATTAAGTTCCACATGTGCACTGGATAAAACAATGCTGTATTTTTTTGGCACATATGCATACCGAACCGAAAAACCCATACGTTGACTCGACATCAAGTCTATCCAGATACACTGTGTAGTATTTATTAAATAAATTGCAGGACCTAACATGTTCCAAGATCATTCAATCACTATTCTTACACTAAAAAGATGCAACTCTGCCAACAGTGCAGATATGTCTTTAAAAATAGCTTGTCAAGAGCAACCTATCCTCTCCTCTCCTCTCAGTGAGAGAAATTAGATTGTGAGAGAGTGAGATCCACAGCACCAGAAGTGACAGCCCGTCTCTGCCCTCAAGCCCATGCTAATTAAGAAACACTGTTAATTAACTTGTTTGCAACCAGCACTGCACACTTCTATACAATCAGTGCCTCAACATTTCCCCGCAAGCGAGTCAGTTCCTCCCAGCCCCTCATAACAAACACAAGCATGCAAACTGGCACACACAAATAAACACACACACACACACATGCGTTTCTGCTGAGGCGCGTCTCTCAAATTAGACACGGATGAAAAAGCAAACAGTGAGAAAACTG